AATTACTGGCAATTGGAATGCAAAGGTTGGAAAAAGGAGGATCAGTAGTTGGAAAATACGGCTTTGGTGATAGAAAACAAAGGCTGGAGACCACATGATGGAATTTTGAACCACCAATGACTTCTTCATTGCAAATGTCTTTTTTAAATAACATAAAAGACAACTGTACACATGAACCTCACCAGATGGAATACACAGAAATCAAATTGACTACATCTGTGGAAAGAGATGGTGGAAAAGCTCCATCAGCCAAAACAAGGCCAGGAGCAGACTGTGGAACAGATCACCAATTGATCATATGTAAATTCAATTACATTATTAATATAAAGAAAATTAAAACAAGTTCATGAGAGCCAAAATATGACCTTGAACATATCCCAACTGAATTTAAAGATCATCTGGAAGAACAAATTTGAAGCACTAGACACTAAAGACCAAAGACCCGAAGAGTTGTGGGATAACATTAAGAACACCTGAAGAAAAAATTCACACCTTAACTTAAGGTATTAAAAGATACTATGGGAAAATTATTGAATGATGCAGGAAGCATCAAAACAAGATGAAAGGAATACACAGAGTCACTGTACCAGAAAAAGATGGTTGATGTTCAACCATCTGAAGAGGTAACATATGATCCAATAATGGTGAAGGAAGAAGTCCAAGGCATACTGAAGGCGTTGGCAAAGAACAAGGCTCTAGGAATGTATGGAATACAAATTTAAATATTTCAACAAACTGATGGAGCACTAGAGGCACTCACTCATCTACGCCAAGAAATCTGGAAGACAAGTACCTGGCCAACTGACTAGAAGAGATCTGTATTTATGCCCATTCCAAAGAGAAGTGATCCAACAGAATGCAGAAATCATCAGACAATAATATCATTAATATCCCATGCAAGCAAAATTTTGCTAAAGATAATTCAAAAACAGCTGCAACCATACATTGACAAAAAACTTCCAGAGGTCAAGCCAGACTCAGATGAGGACATGAGGGATTATTGCTGATGTCAGATGGATCTTGGCTGAAAGCAGAGAATACCAATAAGATGTTTACCTGCTGTGCTTTATTGACTACACAAAGGCTTTTGATTGTGTGGATCATGACAAGCTATGTACAGCCCTGTGAAGAATGAGTATTCCTGAACAGTTAATTGTACTCATGAGGAACCTGTACATAGACCAAAAGGCAGTTGTTGGAACTGAACAAGGGAACACCAAATGGTTTAAAATTATTAAAGGTGTGCACCAGGGCTGTATTCTTTCACCATACTGTATGCTGAGCACATAACCTGAAAAACTAGATTATATGAAGAAAAACATGGCATCAGGATAGGAGGAAAACTCATTAACAACCTGCAATATGCAAATGATACAACCTTGCTTGCTGAAAGTGAAGACTTAAAATACTTACTGATGAACATCAAAGACCACAATCTTCGGTATGGGTTGCAACTCAATGTAAAGAAAAAAAAAAAAAAATCCTCACCACTAGACAAACAAATAATCCATAAAAATGGAGAAAAGACTGAAGTTGTCAAAGACTTCATTTTGCTCAGATCAGTCATCAACATTCATGGAAGCACAATCAAGAAATCAAACAACGTACTGCATTAGGCAAATCTGCCGCACAAGACCTCTTTGAAAGTACTGAAGAGCAAAGATGTTAGTTTAAGAATTAAGGTGCACCTGACCTAACCTCATATGCATGTGAAAGTTGGACACTGAGTAAGGAAGACCATAGTAAGAATTGATGCATTTGACCTATGTTATTGGAGGAGAATATTAAAACTACCATGGACTGCCAAAAGAACAAACAAATCTGTGTTGGAAGAAGTACAGCCAGAATGCTCCCTGGAAACCAGGATGGACAGACTCCGTCTCTCATACTATGGACATATTATCAGGAAGGATGAGTCCCTGGAGAAGGAAATTATGTTTGATAACATTGAGGGTGGGAGAAAAAGAGGAAGACCCCAATGAGATGGACTGGCACAGTGGTAGCAATGATGGGTTCAAATGTAGCAACAATTGTGAGGCTGGTGCAGAACCAGTCTGTTGTGCACAGGGTCTCTATGAGTCAGAACCAACCCAATGGCACCGAACAACTACAATATTAAGGAGTCCTGTTAGTGCAGTGGGTTAAGCGTTGGGCTGCTAACTGAAAAGTTCATGGTTCAAACCCACCAGCTGCTCAATGGGAGAATGAGGAGGTAGCCTCCATCCATAAATACTGACGTCTTCAGAAACCCAACAGAGCAGTTCTATGCTGTCCTATAGGGTTACTATGAGTTGGATTCAACTCAACAGCAGTGTTTTTGAGTTCTGGGTTTTTTAAGAATATAAAGTGTTGTTGAAAGTGCCACTGAGTTAGTTCATAGTAACCCTCTGTGGTCCAAACCGACCTTGTGGTCCAGTGTTTCTCCCACAGCATCACAGCATATGAGAAGATCCTAATATTCCACAGGAATTCTGGTGTGGCACTGTAAGATAAGCACTGGAATGTTAACATTCAAACCCACCAGCCATTCCTCAGAAACCCTATAAAAGGTCGCTAAGAGTCAGAACCAACTCAACAGCACTTAACAACAACAATATTCCACAGAATGAATGAAAATGAGTGAATTTTAACAAAGGAGTTTTGTGTTTATGACAACCTGGAAAGCAAAATCTTTCCAAGTAACTTAAACTAGATACTATGAGATGTGCCGTACTTAAGTTAAAGGAATAATTGTGTCTTAAAGTAAAACTAGTAGTTCCAGAAGGAAAAAAGATGAAGGACAAGTCTAAAAGGTAGAAAAAAAATAGCTAAAAAGCTTTGGTCCAGATAAAGAAAAAGCAAAGTTGCTTACCAAGGAAGGGACTAATGAAGGGAAAGAAATTGGTTATCTTTTAAAGTACCAAATTATCTTATGTAAACTTATGTAAACATATGTAAATGGTTAGAATGACTAATTTTGTCTTTGATTATGAGTCAAGGAGAGAGAGGTTATGACAAGACCAAGCCTCCCTGACCCCAGACTCTAAGGTCACAGAACTAGAAAAACTATTGAAAATTCCTCCCAAAGCAAAAAAAAAAAAAAAAAAAGTCTTTTTAAGAGGAAAGAAAATAAACTGCTGTCTTACAACAGTTATCAGAAATGAGTTGGATCCCCATCAAAAAGGAATTATAAGAGTTTGCTGTACTGTAAAAGAAACCTAAGGAGCCAGTGAGACTCACCAAAAATGGCATGGAAAATGTTCCCACCAGCCAGAAAATTATGAGTTGTTTTCCGAAAAGTGAATTGGTCAGTTGGACAGAGACTATGTGTTTTCCAAAACAAGTTGATAGAAAGAGCTAAATTTACAGTAGCAAAGGCCTGAGAAATGGTTCCAACAGTTGGAAACAGGACTATCATATGACACGGCCATGCCTCTACTTAGTATCCATCCTACGGAATGGATACCCATCGATACGAATAGATGTATGCACACCCATGTTCACTGCAGCATATTCACAATAGCAAAAAGATGGAAACAACCTGAAAGCCCATCAGTGGAAAAGTTAATAAATTATGGTACAGACACACAATGGAGTGACGAGGAATCTGGAAAATTAGAACAAAAGGAAACAGGGAATCCAGTGCAGAAATGTGGAGAATCCAACCACTGCCTTCATGCACAAACTACTGAACAGGAAACTAATTTGCTCTGTACACTTTCACCTAAATAACAATATAAAAACTTTTAAAAAATAAAATAAAAACAATGTATTGCATTGGGATGATTTACTGCAAAAGATCTCTTTACGGTGTTAAAAAGTAAAGGTGCAAGCGGAGGTCCCTGGGACCATCAAGGGAGAAGAGCAGAGAGTGGGACCCTACCCAGAGAAGCAGTGATGCCTGAGATGGAGGCAGAGACGATGACGTGGAGAGATGGAGCAGCTGGGGACTCTAGACACAGAGAGGGAGAGGGGCTGTGTGCTGATGACCAGGGGGCAGGCTTGTAGTGTATACCCTGTGGATGGTTGATGATGCATGGAGGAGATTGTAACCATAGCAATGAAATGATATAGGATAGGATGAATGTAAAACTAATGTCCTTCCATGTAAGCGATCACATAATTCACAATAAAACATTAAAAAAAATTAAAAAAGGAAAGGTGCCAATTTAAAAGACTAAGGAGCTCCTTACCCAAACCGTGGTCTTTTCAATTGTCTTGTACATGTGAAAACTGGACAATGTAAAAGTACTGAAGTAATCAAACTGAGGTGCTGCCCAAGAATACTGAATATACCAAAAGAACAAACAAATCAATCTTAAAATAATTAAAACCAGAATGCTCCTTAGAAGAGATGTCATCAAGAAGGGCCAACTGCTAGCACAGGACATCATGGTGGGTAGATAGCAAAAGAGGAGGGAAGTCAGGGGCCATGAAGACAACACAGGGCGGGGCAAAGTGTCCTTCTGTTGTACAGCCAACTCCACGACACTGACAAACACAAAATGTCTGGGTCAAATACCCGATTCAGAGTTTGGATTTTCTGTGGCCAGCAGCAGGGATAATCCCTCCCCCAACCCAACCAAGTTGAAAGATCAAGGGGCGGGGTCTGCCTGGGTGTGTGTGTGAGGGTTTTGTTGGGGCATGGAGAAGCAATGGGATAGAATTTGAGGCACAGAAACCATAGAAATGGGTCTGAGCTCTTGTAAAGTTGGGAGGGAAAGGGAGAGGGGGAGGAAGGTGTACTATACAGAGGAACTTCTCTCCTCCCCCAAACACAGGGACCTGGAGTCACTACTGTGACACCAAGTTCACAGGATGAAAACCTCGGAGGCTATCTCCTACAGTTTGGCCCCTCCCCATCCGGGAATAAGACCCATGACCCAGCAGCACCTGCTGGCAGTCCGATTAGGAGAAGCTCAGTCGGCAGCAAGCAGGGCTGCTGAAAGGGACGAGTTGCTTTCATGCAAATAAATGTGCACACAATTATCACCTACATCTATCTGCCCAGGGCCACTCACCTTGGAAGGTAAGGAAGGGTTTTTCGTGAACGGGTCTGAGGTAAACGGGTCATTCTTTGTCTGTTTCTTGAAGAAATCGTCTGTGGCAGAACCCCGGAACGGGTCGCTTTCTTTGAAGGGATCCCCTCCAAATGGATCTAGGAAGTCACAGAAAAATGCTCCATGAATCAACAGCACTGTGCTCAGGACAGTCCCTAGATGGCACTGTTTGTGCTCAATTACTCATCTACAGGTTGGCCATGTGAACCCACCCAAGCGGAGTACGGAAGGAATAGCGTGTTTCTAGTAAGATTGCTGTTATATGCATACTCACGTTCATCGTAGCATTGTTCACAACAGCAAAAAGATGGAAACAACCTAAATGCCCATCAACGGAGGTACGTACATACAGTGGAATACTATACACAACATAAATCCATGAAACAGCTCATAACCTGGAGAACACTATGCTAAGTGAAGTCAGTCAATCTTAAAAGGACAAACAATACATGAGACCACTACTATAAAAAGTTAAAAAAAAAATTTATGCACAAAAAGAAACATTCTTTGATGGTTACCAGGGATGAGTGCGGGAGGGAGGGGCAAATCACTAATTAGATGGTAGACATGTACAGAGGAGCTTCAGAATTCATAAGGTCCACCAAAAAATTCCATCATCTTTTCATTCCTATTTCCCACAAACTCTTTGAAGCCTCCTTGTATTAACGTGGGTGAAGGGAAAGGAAAGGAGGTCAGCACACGGTGAGGAAAGCAAAGGAAGGCCCTGGGAGGTACACAGCAGTACAAGGCAGTCATGGTAAATACTACTGCGTACGCAATCCTGCAGCATACGAGGATATACTAACAGTACTAACACACTGCCTTATGAGTGGACACACAGATGGATTTGTGAGCTGTGGAGGCAGACGATATGTCTACATATGTGTCTGTATGTTCTGCACACAGATCCGTGTATACAGACGAGCATACAAAGGGCAAAGTTATGCAAACTTCTTAGCTATAACCTAAGACCTGGAGGGACTGAGTCACTAAGCTTGAAGATTTAACATAGTTCATAAAGACAGTGTTCTGCACCCTAACTTCAGTAAGTGATGAGTGTCCTAAAACCTTTGGAGCAGTCACCTAAAAGACAACTGATGATCTTTTTCCAGCTGAAGCAAAAAGTGAAAAAAAATCAAAGTGAGTCCAGTGGGCAAAGGAACCGCACAAACCACAGCCTTTGGTAGCCTGAGATCAGAAGAACTAGATGGTGCCCGCTACACTACTGACCGCTTTGGCTGGGAGAAAAAAATATCGAACAAAATTCAAAACCATAAAAAAGTCTGGCCTTACTGGGCTGATAGAGAACAGTGGAACCCCCAAAACTCTGTCACCCCTTAGTCACCCTTCAAACCTGGAACGGAACCCACTCCTGGAGATCACTTTTGCAGTTAAACAACAGTCAGGCCTGTAAAGTGAACCAGCACACCTGCGGGGAACAGTCAACCATACAGGACTGGAAGTGGACCATGTCCCCAACAACAGAGTGAATAAGGCAGGCAGGGGCACCAGGGAGTCCAGGGAGGAAGTGCAAAGAGTACTGTCACAGTGACAGGACTCAAGTGTCACCTAACAAAGGGTATCACAATTGTTCAAGGAAGAACTAATTGGCTTTTTTTGCTCCATAAACTTTCACCCAAACCACCATTCAGGCAAAACTTGTTTTATTACCCTTCACAGATAATGCAACGGGTTTTTTTAAACAAACTGAACATCTGTGACAACCCTGTGTTGAACAAGTCTATCTGCACCATTATTCCAATCGCAAGTGTTCACTCCATGCCTCTGTATCAGTTTGGTAATTCTTATAATATTTCAAACTTTTTCATAATGCTACTGTACATTTAATAGACATAACATTTATATGGAAACCACAGCCAATCATGGGACTAACTTTTGTGCACTATTTTCTTTATTGTGGCAGTCTGCAACAGAACTTGCAATAACTATTGTTTGGCTGTAAAGTATTAAGAAGACTGTTGTTGTTAAGGGTTGTCGAGTCAGTTCTGACTCATAGTAACCCTGTATAGGGTTTCCAAGGAGTGGCTGGTGGGTTTGAACTGCCAACTTTGTAGTTAGCAGGTCAGTGTTTATCCTGCAGTGCTACACCAGGACTCCATTGTATCTTTCTAGAATAACTGTTATACCTATCCAGAATGTCCCATACCTAGCCTCTGATAGACGGTGTTCTAGATCTAGGTTCTTTCCCCTAGAGGGTTTCTAATCGGGCTGCGAACCTCAAGGTCAGCAGTTTGAAACTATCACAGCTGTGCCGCAGGAGAAAGATGAGGCTTTCTGCTCCCATAAAGATTTACAGCCTCGGAAACCCTGTACAGGGTCGCTATGAATCAGAACCAACTCCACGGCACATAACAACAACAACCATTCAGAAGCAAATTGCCAGGCTTTTCTTCTGAGGAACCTCTGGGTGGGTTTGAACTGCCAACTTTTTGGCTCATAGTCCAGAGCTTAGCCATTTATGCTACCTGAGGATTCTGCTGCTAAGATGATCGCCAAGAAAACCCTATGGAACAGGTTCCATTCTGTAACAGGTGGGGCCACCAAAAGTTAGAATCAACTTAACCGCAAAAACCATAACAAAGTCAGCAAAAGCACCTTGAGCCAGAACACCTGTCTATCTGAGGCAAGCCCAGACCTTCTAAAAGGGCAAACTAGAGAGAGCAGAGCAGAGGTGGGGGCAGGCAAGACTGCATAGAGGTATAAGGGGACCTTTTGGGTATCGATGTTTACATGACCATCCAGGTCTATCAAAACTCATCTAGATATGTACTCAAAACTGGTGGATTTTGCTGTGTGCAAATCACACCTTTCTACAAACTATTCACCACAGACAAACTGATTTAAAATAGAGCAAAAACAAACAGCATGATCTTAACAGTGCGCACATGCTATGTTCTACCTGAGACACAGACGAGGCTGGGCGTGGAGGATGGGGGAAGAGAAGGCACTGGGAGAGAACAGGAAACCAGAACTGCTCGTAAACGGGGTGAACATTCCCAGTGTATGCCCAACCTTCCTGGGGTCTGCAGACAGAAGTCCTATGTACAGGGACAACCCGGAATACTGGAACAAACCCCAGAGGCACCCCGGGCCTGTGATCAAGCTGCTGGGGGCATTACCACACCACCACCTCACTAGTGGGAGATGCTTCTGTAGCTTTGTTTCTCGTCACACGGGGAAGTTGTCAAGAAGAGGCGCGGAATTGTAAAAAGGCAGGAAGTCATTGCCAGGTTCGTTCAGAGACCAACCCCCGACACCAGGGACTAGGAGGCCAGCAGAGAAGGTGAAAGGTGCTTTGCCCTTCCCCTTGGCTATAGTTTGGGACAGGGCATTCTGAGGGCTCATCCACAAAACTTTCCTTTTACCTGTTGAAGTTGTCTGCTGTTCGGCAAAAGGGTCATTCTGGAACGGGTCACCTAAGTCAGAGAGGAGAGAGTTGCTTAGCTCAACGAAGGCAGGACAGGAGCAGGTGAAGCGGTTAGTTTAGAAGCAGTCTCCACCTCCCCTTTTAGGAAGCAAAGGCACCCCCCCTTCTCCACTGTCTGCCCACACAAGTCTGGTGTACAGGAGCACAGGGTTTCTTCCCACAGCCAGGTTTTTCTAAGAAGATGGCACATCCCCAGGGAAGTGAAGGTGGGCTGCCTGCCCTACAAGGTTCAAATCCACTCTCTGCTTCTATAGCAGGCCCCACCCTTCTCGCACATCTCCCTCCCACCTCCTCGGTTAGGAAGACTGGGGGCCTCGAGGCCCACCCACCTCCCGTTGCCCCTAACCAGGAGCTGCCGAACCATCTCTTAAGACACTTCAGCGCCACACCCAAGCTCTGATTGGGTAGTACGTCTGGGCAGACACCCCAAATCTACCCCTACCCTACCTCTGCGCTCTGCTCAGATCAGAAACGCAACTTTGCTCAGAGCACTGAGAAGCATTAGGATGCTGGTGGTTCAAACTCACCAGCCACTCCTAGGGAACCTTATACAGGGTCGCTATGAGTCACACTTTCCAACAACGAAGCACTCCTGCCATGAGTGAGTCTATCGGGGATAAACGCACACATGAAGGCCTTCCTGGTGTGTGCACCCCGTCATCACCACTGCAGGAGACACGGAGGGTGCCAGTCTCTGCAGACAAGCTGGGCAGAGTGAGGGGCCTGGCCAAGCCGCCCTCCACCTGGTGTCTCAACACCTGAGCTCACCAGTTAACAGGCTGAGGTGAGGAATGCACAGATTCATCATCCTCAAAGGGCCCTGCACCTCTCTATTTCAGATTGGGGTGTCCTACCTTTTCCGAGCACTAACCCATTCAGAATGGCATAAAAGAAACAGCCCAATGAGGCAGTGGCAGGTAGAACATATTGGAAGTTCCTCAAAAGGCTGAGCATGAACTAGCATACGACCCAGCTATCCTACTCCTCAGCATGTACCCAAAGAAGTGAGGGCAGGAACACATACAGAAGCCTGTGCAACCGTGTTCACAATAGCACTTCTCACAATAGTCAACTGTGGAGACAACCCAAATGTCCACCAACAGATAACAGATAAACACTGTGGTCCGTCCACATGACGGAAAAGTCTGCAGCTGTCAAGAGGATGAGCCTTCAAAACATCCTGTGGAGTGACAAGTTAGTCACAACAGGACAAATTCCATATGGTCTCACGTGATACATCTAGACCAGGCAAGTGTGTACAAAGCTAAGTTTAGTAATGGGACCCGGGGGTGGGAGGGAAGGGAAATGAAGAGGTTTTACCGCGCATTTACGTGAGTGGCGGTGGAATGATCTGGCAGAGGGTAGCAAGAACAGCTGCTGATGTGAAGAATTGCATCACTGTCAAAGACTCACACATACAGAAATGACTGAGCTGACATGTGTTTCGTTACATGTATTTTTCATCACGTTTTTTAAAACTTATTTTTTTAAATAAAAGGAACAGCCTTGTGACAAGAAGGTTAGTGTTGGGGGACGTACCTTTGAAGGGATCAGCTCCTTTGAAGGGGTCAGATTTGAAAGGGTCTTCAGCTTGGAAGGGGTCCGGGTGTAAGTCTTGGGCATTGTTGCTAAATAACAAGGCTTTATTTTTGAAAGGATCATCCTATAATTTTGTGGAGAGACAAGATAAGGATTTTATTAACTATGGAGTTTCGTGCCCATCTCACGCCCCGCCCCCACCCCCTTTACAGTAGCAGGTGGCTCTAGCAAGGAGTTTTATAACGACCGAGTCAGCACGTCTGGACTTCAGTTCACTGTCAGGCAGACTGGCCTGCTGGCTGCGGCAGAGGTTCTATGGGAGATGCCAGGGCTGGCTGCGAGTCCTGTGCACCACCTTTGCCACTTTCCCGCACATCTAAAGCTATTCTAAGTTTATGAAAACCACTGAATGAGAAAAAGGCAACGTGTCTGGAAATGTCCCAACACAGGCTTTCCTTCCAAACGTGCGACTGCCCTCGAGCACCTTTTCTCCGTGAAATAGTAGGTGGGCATTTAAAAAAGAAAATGCCGTTTACACACCGAGAAGCCTGGCGACTGTTTGCACCCTGTGGGGAAATGAGCATGTATGTGGTCTGAACCACTCGACCATTTACAACACTTCATATAAAAGAAAAAAAAAAAATGTGTTTGTTTTAGGAACGAGCAAGCATATTTGGACCAGGAGAAAAAAAACTGTTTCACAAGTGCGTATTTTTAGAGTATAAAATGGCCATGTGTGGAAAGGGCACAGAGAGGGCTCTGGGTGGCGCTGACAGACCCTGGTATGCACATGGGTGCCACTGTGGTATCAGAAAGTGGAGGCGTCTTGATACATTCAGCGAAGAGTTCACACCCATGGGACTGGCAAACCATCCATTCTCCCGATGCATAAACCCTCATCGTTAAAGCGAGCCAGGGTATTGGTGGATGCACAGATAACGGGACAGGGCAGTGACCACACAGGCCCCATGAAGTCTCCTAAGGAGGGGCCAGCCCACCGTAGGTAGAACAAGCAGCAGACACACCTGTCAGTGTTTTCTTACCTGGGGGAGAGTATCTGGAGCGTCCAGCCACACACGGCTGCCCAAGGTGGGAAGACCAAGTCAGACATGGCAAGTAAGAAGAGGTGCCCGCAGACACTGCCCCTGCAGACGCCAAGGAGCTAACAGACATGGACACACGTGCCCTCCTAACATGCCATGGCACTCACGGGCAAGGACAATCCCTGACGGGAAATCCCTAACCTACCTGGGCAGGAAGCAAGTCCTCTAGGGGACAGACTCTGCTCCACAGGGGGACAGAGGGCATGGGAGGAACAGTGTGCTAAGAATGGAAGGTTCTATTTAGTTCTCAAGAGGCATTTAACTACAAGTGTGGATTTTCTTTTTAAATGTTTTCAATTTGTCACTGGGAAGACTGCCAAGTGATATGGCAGGGTCACATGGCAAGAGAGACAAGGCTTTGGGGCCTCCAGCCAGAGTCTGGTGCCAGGCCATCAGGAACTGAACCAAGAGTCGGTTCTGCCATCTGTTTCTAGGAGGGGTTGTCACCTGAGGCAGCACCCACGCTTTCTCCTTCAAAAGAGAAGCCGAAGAAGACACTGGCAGAGTTTGTGTGGCTTCGCGTAGGTTCTACAAACCCCACATCCACTGCCCACCTCCCAGACCTGAGCTGTCCCCCAGCCCACGTGGTGTGAGTGTAGCAGCCATGCTGGGAGAAGGATGACATGCTCTGTTGCAGAAGGAAAACTTCTTGGATCACAAAGTGCTGAGGAAGGAGACAGCGGTGGGAGGGCACTGGCACTTCTGGGACATGTCTCTCCCCACTTGGAGGGGTGCTGGGCCCTGATCTACAGCTTCTGCCAATTCCCATGGTGTCAATATTCCTGCTGTCAAGTGAGTCTGTTACCAAGGGTTTAACAAGCAGTGGCAAGGTTCCTCAGCTCTGAAGTCAGTGGAAACTGTCTAGCTCACCACCTCCACCAAAGGATGACCAATGGACTGTCTTCAGGGTCAGTTCTGAGTGAGGCCTGGATCTGTCCTAACTTAAGACCTTCTCTGCTACACGGGGCCCCTGCACGGTGCAAATGGTCAACACACTCAGTTGCTAACCTACAGACTAGAGAGTCAAGTCCACTCAGAAGAGCCTTGGAATAAAGTCCTGGGGATTTCTCTGAAAAATCAGCCATTGAAAACACTACAGAGCACACGTCGACTGATACATATGCTGTCACCATGGTCTAGTATCCACTAGACAGGTGGGTTGAGTCTGTCTTCAAGGGTAAGAGGCCAGTGTCCTCACAAACAGATGACAAACAAGAAGTAAGTAAGGTGGTAGGAATCCTGAGGGGCCTTGGTGGTGCAGCAGATTAAACTCCAAGGTTGGTGGTCAAACCCACCAGCCTCTCTGCAGGAGAAAGATGAGGCTGTTTGCCCCTGTAAAGTTTCCTATCTCAGAAACCCTATAGGGCAATTCTATTGTCCGTAGGGTTGCCATTCGTCGGAATGGATTCCATGGTTCACCGGGAATCTTCAGTCACGTGGTTTCCCAAGGTAGAGAAAGTCGGCCATGTGCCCAGGCAGGCAAGAAGAGATGCCAAAGGCTCTGTCCCTTGGGCAAAGTAACATTGTGCAAGCTTGACACTAGACAGGATGACTTAGTAACTTACAAAGTTCTAGATGCACCTCTGGTTCTGCTATTTCCCACCACCACTTACAAAGAGAACGAGGAGAGCCCTCCTCCCTTTGGAGCAGTCTCAAAATGGTCACGAAAAAACAAAACCCCTCCTCCAAGTGCTTATTAAGAAATGGAAACAAACCAAAAGATGCTTTAAAATCTGTATTTATATAAAGAGATAAATAGCTTTTTGTTAAAACACTGATAGCAGGTTTATATGTAACATCTCTGATGTCCACATCCCAAGATTTACTATTGTGTAAACTCTGCCCCACTTAGAAGATGAACAAAAAGTAACAAAGGAGGTCAAAATCCAAGGAAAATCACTGGCCACTTGCAAACTGCCACATCACTGCCAACGTGCATCCAAGGACCTACCTCAAACACCTGTGAGGGGGGCATTTTGGAGTGAATGCTTCCCTGTACTGGAACAAATGAGGCAAGGTGAAAAATGTGCGAGGAGAGAGGCAGATGGAGGAGCAAGCCTGGCCTGAAACAACTATGCACCCAAGTGTAGAAAGGGAAACAGCAGGAGGACCCAACTCGCAGAAGTCCCGGAGAAGAAATGCTCTTCATTGAAACAATACAGAAAGGGAACAACACAGCTGATGACAAGCCCATAAGCACACGAGGAAGGCCCCGTTCACACGCCACGGGGAAAGAGTGTGTGGATGACAGGGGGGCAGCGTAGCCAAGACGTAAGGCAACAGGAGTGTCCACAGCAGCATGGAAGCGATCTGGAGAAGGCACATCTCCCCATATAGAGCCTCAGAGCTGAGTAAGTTTGTGATGGAGAAGAACAGGCAGGAAGGACCAAGACAGAGTATGGAGAAAGAAAGGAGCCCAAAGGCCAGGCCAGGCTCAGAGGGGTGAGGAGAAGGAGTGGGTAAGCACCAGGGACTATGAGAGCCCTGGAAACACTGAGGCAGACCGCATGTGACCTGCTCCCTGGACAGCCCAAAGACGCATTCATCCACTAGGTGGAGGCAGAAACCCAGTAGCCACCCCTCCGCCTGGCCCAGCAGAAGGGCATGAGAGTCCTTGTACAGCGCTGCGCCCAGGGCTCCAGCCATGGACTGGTGCCTGCTGCACACAGTGAAAAAGGGACGGAAATTTTAAACATGGCCCAAGTGGCTGGAAAGGCCAGTTTGTAGTGGAGACAGCAATGCCCAGTGAGGACTAACAAATGCTTTTTCTTGGTTCTACAGGTAAATTTGGTGTTCAAGGTGCTCTTCTGGAAACACAAGCACTCACGTACACAAGTGCGCACATGGGTACACATTACACGACATACACACACTCGTGTTCCCTGAATGAGTAGACCCTGGGGTTTCACAATGTGTGCAGATACGGATCCAATTCGTTTCAGTTTTGAGAGGTCCCTGGATTTGAGGGAAGAAGGGGAGGTCGGCTCATTCAGATGCTCCTGCATGGGTCAGGTGACAGGGGACTCCAGCCTGTCCTTGGCTCTGGAGCCAGGTGCAACTACCCACTGGGAACAGGCCCAGAGGGGCCATGTAAAACAGCTGCAGAAACTGGAAATCCCCTCCCCTCACACAGCCATGGGGCAGCCTGTTTACAAGTCCAGGAGAGGGGGGTGACCACAGGAGGCCACTCCAAGGGTATGACGCAGCTACTCGACCTGCACCGTGACTCCGAAGCCGCCCCGCTCGGTCAGGTCAGTGAGGCCAGGTGGCCCGTTGAGGGCCTCATCACTGGGCAGGAGGCCACGGCAGGCATCCTGCTGGCTCTCATGAAGTTGGGAGAGCTTGCTTCTCGCCTGTGCAACAGAAACATCCCCGCATCACATGTGGGCAGGACAATACTCCCCTCAAACCCAACCCCACCACCCCTGTGAGGGTCAAGACCAGAGAAGAGTCTCCCCACCCACTGCTGGGCCGCCCTGCATGAGCAGCTTGAGGAGAGGCATGTGTGCAGACACACACCAATTCTCTTGTTGTTTGTGAGCCCCATGTGTCAGAGTAGAACTGCTCCATTGGCTGGAATCTTTACAGAAGCAGATCGCCAGGCCTTTCTTCTGCAGTGCCAAGGGCTGGGCTTACAGTGCCAACTTTTAGGGTAGTAGTTGAATGAAAACTGTTTTCACCACCAGGGACCTACACATGTACTGTCTGAACAGACTAAATGAGACAAAACCCACATCCACGATTGGTTTTTAAAAAAAGGTCATTCAGAGGGTCTCCTTTCTGATGGGGTCGTCATTAATTCCATTTAGAGTCCCTGGGGGTGCAAACAGTTAACTTATTCAGTTGCTAAGCAAAATGCTGTAGATTCAAGTCTACCCAGAGGGGCCTTGGAAGAAAGGCCTGGCAATCTACTGAAACACTGGCCGCTGAAAATTCTATAAAGTACAATTCTACTCTGACACACACCAAGGCACTAGGCATCGGAATCAACTTGAGGACTACCGATGTTTCTAGGTCTCTTCTTGTTGTTATAATTAGCAGTCTATGCTCATGTCTGGGTTCTGACTTAGGTTTTACAAACTCAGGGCTGGGAAGGAAGAGAATTTAAATTACTCTGCAGATGGGTATTTGGGAATTAAAACTGAGCATAGTCCAGAAAATTAAAGCTCCCTTGAAGGGATGAGGCAGGTAGGTTTGTGATCTGTCTCTACCCGTGTACTGTAGTAGCAGAAAGCTAGGCCAACTTTGCAGATCAGACATGGGAAGGTCAGCACTCTACGGGTACTGGAACATGCAGGCTACAAGGCCTTTGCACTGGGAGGACAGTGAGTGAGAATGCTCAGGTAGCTTAAAGAACTTGATGAGTGCCATGCATGGGGTGGGGAAGGGAACAAGGGCTGCGGGGGGGTAGGCACATGCATGGGAGGAATGGAGTCCCACATGGGAAGGATGGGGTAGTGCTGGTTACCAGGTAGCCTCAACACCTGGCGCTGGATTTGTCACCCTCGGTTGACATCTGTCCTTCACCCAGACCCAGGGAGACATTGGAACTTTCCTACACTTCCTCCTTGTGGAAGCCCCAAGCTGGTAAGAGTACCCCAAGACCTAAGCTCTCTCCCAAGGAGCCCTCAGTACCTTGCCTGCCCGGCGACAGTCTCAGCCCCATGTGGAAGGTAGATAGGAAAAGCCAAAGTTCAGTGTGAAGGCTAGGCCTCCCACCTCTAGGTGGCAACACAGATGGTGAGCAAACAGCCCAGAGGCCACCTTGCACACTGAGCGGATCCCCAGATGCCTACCCACCTGCCCGTGGGGTACTCCCAGAAGGTCCACCTGCCCCATACCTGGTTGATCTCGTCCTGCGTGGACGCAAGGGACTTGAGGATGGTCTCGAGCTGGGCGCGTCCGGCCTGAATGCTCTGCTCCAGCTGTGCTTCCTCCTGCTGTAGACGGCCCAGCTCTACCTTGGCCCGGTTCAGGTCATCCTCCTGAGACCGAAGGTCTGACTCCTGTGACTGGATCTGCATCTTCAGCGAGGAAATCTGAAGTGGGAGTGCAGGGGGATCCGTGAGTGAGAGACCAAAAAGGAGTCTCTGTCCACACATTCGTAACAAGCTGAGCAGGGGTGGGGAAACAATGTCTGGGCTCCTGGAAAATGATAAGGCCTGTCCTGCACCAGGAGCAAACGAGTGAGTGGAGGGACAAACATCCTTATCCAACACAGATGGTTCTGGAAGGAGCAGACCTAACCTGGGACCACAACAGCCACCTGTCTGTCTATGCCCCGCAAGACTGAATGTGCCGCATAAGACCTTGAGGATCTTACAACTCAGGGACACCACAGTCCCCTGGCTCCCAGCAAGCAAGCCGCGCAAGCCGAGTCTCTGGACACACAGGTGGGAAAATGAGACTAGTACATAAAGCGCTCTCTCAGTGGGGTCACCAGGACTGTCACGGTGCGCTTTGTGTATTGTTATGATGCTGCGAGCTATGCTACTGCCATTTTAAACACGATCAGGCTCACCGATGCTGAATACGTTTCAGCCACACTTTCAGAATGAAACTAGGAAAAAAGGCCTAGAGATCGACCACACAAAATTAACCAGTGGAAACCCACAACACAACACTGGCCGATACAGAGCTGGAAGACACGTCTACTAGGCTGAAAGGCATTCAAAATACACAGTAGCTGCAACCAACTCAAGCACACCAACTAAGAAAAAGATGACAGGACCAGGGAACCTTTTTGGCTGGTGTACACGGGGTCACCAAGAGTTGGGGCTGACAACAAACTTTATCTTTCTCTTTCCCTGAGGCTTTTGAGGGCATGTTGCAGTCCCTTTACATTGAAATGCTACAATGTATGTTTCCTAAAAACAAGAGCAGTCTCTTTTATGATCATAATAAAATGGCCACAACTCAAAACTTTATCAACACATTATTATCTAATACATAATCTAGATGCAAATGCCCCCAAAATGTCCTTTATACCAATTTTCCAGCTGTGGGTTAATGCACCAGACTGCAAAACCGTTTGAATTGCAAGGTCGGCAGTTCAAGCTCACCAGCTGCTCCTCCAAAACCCTATACAGGGTTGCTATGGGTCGGAATCGACTCGATGCCACTTAACAACAACAATCCGAGAGTACTGGTGTGATGCTGTAGGATAAGCACTCAACCTCAAAGTCAGTTTGAACTGCAAAGCTGGCCATTCAAACTCACCAGTCACTCCTTGGAAATCCTGTACAGGCCACAACCATAGAATCCAGTGTACTAATGGTCATGAAACTAGTGCAGGACTGAGCAGTGTTTCACTCTGCTGTGCATGGGTTGTTGTTCATGAGTTGTTGCTGACTTGATCTTGGCTAACAACAAAATAGCCAGGAGGTAAGTGTGTACATGCGTATGTATTCAGACATATAATAAACCCCAGAGGAGCACAGTTACATAATTACACATAATTACACAATTACACAATTCATAACATTGGTTTTCTGGTAGCCTCGTGGGACAACTCAGTTAATTGGCATAATATAGTTCAAAAAGTGTTCTACATCCCAAAATGATGAGTAGCCTGGAGTCTTAAAAGATTTCAAGCGGTATTTAAGATACAACTCTTGGTCTCTATTTATCTGGAGCAAAAGAGAAGAAGGAAACTCAAGACTCTGAGAAGAAAGCAGTCTACAGCATAAATAATTACCCTGAATCCAGAAAGACCGGACGGTGCCTGGTTACCACTGATCAGGGCGGGAAGAGATGGATCCTGACAGAGCAGGAGAAAAATGTGGACGAGAATTCAGATTCTTAAATGCAGACTTCTTGGACCCATTGAGACTAGAGAACTCCTGCCGATATTCTTTAAATGTTAAACTGAAAGTATGCCTTGATTAAGTAACAGATTGGCTCATAAAATAAAGCTCATCAGAAATGAGTGCTTTTAAAGCATCATCTATAGAAGAACAACAAGGAGCTCTGGCGGAGCTGTAGGGTAAGCACAGGACTGTTAACCACAAAGTCAGCAGTTCGAATCCACCAGCCAACTTCTCAAGAAAAAAAATGAGGCTTTCTGCTCCTGTAAAAATGGACAGCCTTGGAAACCCTACGTAGGGTCACTGTGCGTCAACTCAACGGCAGTGGGTTTGGTTGTTTTAGTGAGGAGACCCAGTGGTCTAAAATTACTCTAAACCAAAGATGAGAAGATGGGGAGCAGGGAAACTAGGGTACTGGAAATGGTACAAGCAGAACAGAATGAAGGAGAATGGTAACCCATGAAAAACAAACCCAGTTATCACTGAATAATCTGTGTAGAAACGGTTCAGTGGGAACCAAACTTGCTGTGTAAAACATAATTAAAAACTTGGAGAATCAATCCATGAGAACGACTGTCTCAGGACACTACTCACCATCTGCGTCTCGTCCTGACACTTCTGCCGCACGTCACTCAGCATGTCTCGGAGCTTGGCCTTCTGCTGGTCCATCTCGTCCAGGCGGTCCTGAGCGTCCTGCTTCTGTGCCTCCAGTTCTTGCAGACTGCTCGTCTCCCGGTCCAGATCATTCTGCAATTCCTAGTGAGGAGTGGTGGGGGTTTCCGTAAGACTGCCTAAAAGGGGGCCCGTCTGGAATCGTGCCTCCAGGCACTACTCCACAGACCTGTCCTCCCCCATCGGCCTGGGTAGGCCCTCCATACACACAGCCACCGTGAGTGCTTTCCCTCATTCACCAGCTCCTGCAGCAAACACCGAGGATGCGTGCCTGCTGTGAGAAGACCAGCTCTTTTGGGTCCACCCAGAGCAGCCAAGACCCCCATGGAGGTATGTGTAGGGCCAGCCAGGTGACAGGCTAGAGGAGAAGAGGCCGCAGATGAAATGGTATTGGTAGAGGTGGAACTGGGTGTTGTGCTCACACCAAGCACATGTCTGAGGAAGGAAGGAGAAGGGGCCACAGCAGGGACAGTGTGTCGAGTGTAGGGTTGATGGCCCTCAACTCCTCAACACCCCTCCCTCCCCTGCACCCCATGAGGCTATATCCACCAAAGCCAGTGCAGGTGGCCCTCAACCTGGAGACTCCACTGTCCTGAAAGTACCCGCAGACCCATGTAACAAGAAACTGATGACAACCCAAGTCTCCTCAGGTGGGGCTACAGCCTGGAGAGTCCCAAACCTGCCACACCATGGGACAACCACATGACTCAAATGAGCAATGTCACACATGGACCAGGGTTTGGAGAAAAGGAGAGGTCGTGTTAAGGCCCCTCCTTCTATGTGTCCCTCCCACCCCACATACACTCACAGGGACCAGCACACCACCTACTGTGACTCCAGACCAAGTGGGTGTGCTGGAGACAGCAGGCAGGTTCTGGGAAAGCTCTTTGGAGCCACACATGAAGGGTGACTTGAGGCCAACAGAGCAGATAGGCCTGCAGGAGGTCTTGGGGTACAAGAAAGAGGGGATGGATTTGAGGGGAAGCATGGGGTCTTGGTGTGGTGCTGTAGGATCAGCACTGGACTGCGAACCACAGGTTGGCAGCTCAAACCCAACAGATGCTCCTCGGAAACTCTACACAGGATCGCTCTGAGTTGGAACCCATTGGCCAACACTTAACAACAAACAACAATAAAAAGAGAATTATGGCCTTGGTGACAGAAACAATACTGGAGATCACATGATAGAAATTTGCCATGACGTACTAATTGCAAGCATCTTTTAAAAACAACATAAAAGTCACCTATACACATGAACCTCACCAGACGGAATACACAGGAATCACATTAACTACACTGGTAGGAAAAGACAGGGAGAAATTTGATATCATTAAAACGCAGCCAGGGACAGGCTATGGAGCAGACCATTAATTCCTCAATAGCCAGTTTAACCTGAAGCTGAAGAAAATTAAAACAAGTCCACGAGAGCCAAAATATGACCATGAATATATCCTACCTGAATTTAGAGACCATCTCAAGAACAGATTTGATACAATAGACACTAATAGCCAAAAACCAGAAAAGTTGTGGGATGACATGAAGAACTTCATACAGGAAGAAAGCAAAAAGTCATTAAGAAGATAAGAAAGAAAAACCAAATAGATGTCAGAAGACTCTGAAACTTGATCTCCAGCGTAGAAATGCTAAAGCAACTAGAAGAAATGAAGAGGTAAAAGAGCTGAGCAGAAAATGTCAATGGGCAGCTCGAGAAGACAAAGTCGGTAACAAAGACCTAGATTTAGAAAACCAAAAGGGACACACGCTCAATGTTTCTAAAGTTGAAAGAACTGAAGAAAAATTTCAAGTCTTGCCTTGATTCCTGGTGTGGCACTATAGGATAAACACTGGACTACTAACCACAAGGTCAGCAGTTCAAACCCATCAGCCACTCCTTGGAAACTCTGTACAGGGTCACGTAAGTCAGAATTGATTTGATGGCACTAAACAACAAGAAGTGACAAAATACTGAATGATGCAGAAAGCATCAAAAGAAGATGGAAGGAATATGCAGAGTCACGGTACTAAAAAAATAAATAAATAAAAAAGGTGTTCAACCATTTGAAGAGGTAGCATACAATCAAGAACTGATGGTACTGAAGGAAGAAATCCAAACTGCACTGAAGGCACTGGTGAGAAACAAGGCTCCAGGAACTGACAGAATACAAACTGAACTCATTCAACAAACTGATGCAGCACTGGAGGCGTTCACTCATCTCTGCCATGAAATTTGGAAGATAGCCTACCTGGCCAATCTAATGGAACAGATGCACATCTGTGCCTATTTCAAATAGGGGTGACCCAATGGACTGTTGAAATCATAAAACAATACGATTAATATCACATGCAAGTAAAATTTTGGTCAAGATGATTCAAATATACCTACAACAGTGTATCAAAAGAGAACTGCCAGAAATTCAAACTGGATTCAGAAGAGGACACGTTGTTGTTAGGTGCCATCGAGTCATACCGACTCATAGTGATCTTATGCAAACAGAACAAAACACTGCCCAATCCTGGACCAACCTCACTATTGTTTCCATGCTTGAGTCCATCGATGATGCCACTTGGCCAATCCATCTCGTTGGGGGTCTTCCTCGTTTTCTTTGACCCTCCACCTTGCCAAACATGATATCCTTCTCCAGCGACTGGTCCCTCCTGACAATATGTTCAAAATAATGTGAGACAAAGTTTGGCCATCCTGGCCTCCAAGGAGCACTCTGGCTGCACTTCTTCCAACACAGATCTATTGGTTCTTTTGGCAGCCCATGGCACTTGCAATATTCTCCTCCAACACCATAACTCAAAAGCATCAATTCTTCTATGGTCTTCCTTATTCACTGTTCAGCTTTCACATGAATATGAGGTTATTGAAAATACCATGGCTTGGGTCAGGCGCACCTTAATCCTCAAGCTGACATCTTTGCTCTTCAGCACTTTAAAAATGTCTTGCGCAGCAGATTTGCCTAATGCAATATGTAGTTTGATTTCCTGACTGCTGCTTCCTTAAGTGTTACAGTTGATCCAAGAAGAATGAAGTCCTTGACAACATCAATCTTTTCTCCGTTGGTAAGAATGTTGTTTATTGGTCCAGTGGTGAGGATTTCTGTTTTCGTTACATTAAGATGCAATCCATACCGAAGGCTGTGCTCTTTGATCTTCATCAGTAAATGTTTTAAGTCCTCTTCACTTTCCGCAAGCAAGGTTGTATCATCTGCATATCGCAGGTTGTTAATGAGTCTTCCTCCAATCCTGATGCCATGTTTTTCTTCATAGAACCCAGCTTCTCAGATTATTTGCTCAGCATACAGGTTGAATAAGTATGGTGAAAGAATACAACCTTGTCACACACCTTTCTTAATTTTAAACCATTCAGTATTCCCATGTTCTGTTCGAACAACTGCTTCTTGGTCCAGATACAGATTCGTCATGAGCACAATTAAGTGTTACGGAATACTCATACTTCACAAATGTTGTCCATAGCTTGTCATGATCCACACAGTCGAAAGCCTTTGTGTAGTCAATAAAGCACAGGTAAACATCTTTCTGATAGTCTCTGCTTTCAGCCAAGATCCATCAGATATCAGCAATGATATCCCTCATTCCACAGTCTCTTCTGAATCCAGCTTGAACCTCTGGAAGTTTTCTGTCAATGTATGCTTGCAGCTGTTTCTGTATTATCTTTAGTAAAACTTTACTCACATGGGATATCAAAGAGATTGTCCGATTTCCGCATTCTGTTGGGTCACCTCTCTTTGGAATGGGCACAAATATGGATCTCTTCCAATCAGTCAGCCAGATAGTTGTCATTCAAATTTCTTAGCAGAGATGAGTGAGTGCCTCCTGTGCCACCTCACTTTCTTGAAAGATTTCCATTTTTATTCCATCAATTCCTGGTCCCTTGTTCTTTGCCAATTCCCTCAATGCACCTTGGACTTCTTTCTTCAGTTATCACTGGCTCTTGATCATACGCTAATTCTTGAAATGGTTGAACATTAACCATTTCTTTTTGGTACAGTGTTCCACCTTCTCTTGATGCATTCTTCATCATTCAATAATTTCGCAGAGACTCTTTCAATAACGAGAGTCGAGGCTTGAATTTTTTCTTCAGTTTCCCCAGCTTGAGAAATGCTGAATGTGTTATTCCTTTTCAGTTTTCTGTCTTCAGGTCTTTGCACATTTTGTTGTAATATTTGGCTTTATCTTCTCGAGCTGATCTTTGAAACTTTGTGTTCAGCTCTTGAGACCTCCTCATTTCTTACATTTGCTTTAGCATCTCTGTGCTGGAGAGCAAGTTTCAGTGTCTTGTCTGATATCCATTTTGACCTTTTTCTTCTTTCTTTTCTTCTTAATGACTTTGTGCTTTCTTCATGTATAATGTTCTTGATGTCATCCCACAACTCTTCTGGTCTTCGGTCTTTAGTGTTCAATGTACCGAATCTGTTCTTCAGATGATTTTTTTTCTTTTTTCTTAAATGTTTTATTGTGAATTATGTGAGTTTACATGGGAGAACATTAGTTTTACATTCATTCTATCGTATATCGTCTTACTGCCATGGTTACAATCCCTTCCATGCCATCCTTCCCCCGTACCCCCCAGGTCTCCAGCACACAGTTGCTCTCCCTCTCTGGATCTAAAGTCTCCAGCTGCTCCATCACTCCACGTCATCATCTCTGGCTCCATTTCAGGCATCACTACTTCTCTGGGTAGGGTCCTGCTCTCTGCTCTTCTCCCTTGATGG